GGGCGGGGATCAAAGACCTAAATGTAAGACTTGAAACTTTGACAACTATTAAAGGAGAACATAGGAGTAACAATACTTCAAGATACTCAATCAGGCAATGATTTTCTGGATCAGACCCTAAGAGCACAGGAATCAAAAACAAAAATCAACAAATGGAATTACATCAAAATAAAAATCTTCTGCATAGCAAAGGAAACAATCATTACAACCAACAGAATGGGAGAAAATATATGCCAGCCATTCATCTGACAGAGAATTTATGTTCAGAATATATAGAGAACTTGCTGAGCAGCTACTCTGGAGGCTGAGGTAGGAGGATCACAAATCTGGGCAACTTAGTGAAACACTATATATATATATTTCAAAAAATATATATATATAGGGCTGGAGGGGATGTTCAGTGGTAGAGTGCCTCTGGATTCAATCCCCAGTACTGAAAAAAGAAGAAAAAATAAAAACTCAAAAGACTTAACAATTAAAAACAATCCAACATAGAATGGGCAACTAATCTCAATGGATACTTTTCAAAGGAAAATACAAATGGCCAACAATATATCAAAAAAATGCTCAAGATCATTACTCAACAGGAAAATCAAAACTAAAATGAGATGCCATCTCACCCAGTTAGAATGACTATTACAAAAACAAACAAATGCTAGTAAGGATTTGGCGATAATGGAACTCCTGTATACTGTTGATGGGAATGTAAATTAGTATGGACATTATTGAGAACAGTATGGAGGTTTATCAAAAAACTAGAAACAGAACTACCAAATGATCCAGGAAGAAGTATGGAGATTCCTCAGAAAACTTAGAATGGAACCACCATTTGACCCAGTTATCCCACTCCTTGGTCTATACCCTTAAGACTTAAAAACAGCATACTACAAGGACACAGCCACTTCAATGTTTATAGCAGCACAATTCACAATAGGTAAACTGTTGATCCCACCTAGATGCCTTTCAATAGATGAATGAACAAAGAAACTGTGGTACATATATACAATGGAATATTCCTCAGCATTAAAAGAGAATACAATTATGGCATTTCCATGTAAATGGATAGAGTTTGAATATCATCCTAAGTGAAGTAAGCCAATTCCTTGAATATGCCATCCTCCTGCCTCAGCCTCCCAATTTGCTGGTATTACAGGTGTGTGCCACCATGCCCAGTTTTCATCAACACACTTCAATTTCTCATCAGAAAACACAGAAGCCAAAGCCAGGTGCAGTGGTACACACCTGTAATCCCAGCTATTCAGGAGCATAAGGCAGGAGGATCAGAAGTTCAAGGCCAGCCAGGGCACTTTAGTGAGTCTCAAAATTTTTTTTAAAAGGCTAGGGATGTAGCTCACTGGTAGAGTACTCCTGGGTAAAATCCCTACTAATACACACACACACACACACACAAAAACAAGGCAGGAGCTGTAGCTCAGTGGCAGAGCACTTGTCTGGCACATGTGAGGCACTGAGTTCAATCCTTAGCACCACATAAAAATACACAAATAAAATAAAGGCATGCTGTCCATCTAAGAATAAAATAAAATAAAAATAAATAAGTAAATTTTTTAAAAAGCAGAAAGAAAATCTAGAGGCCAGAGAGAGGGAGCAAAATAAAAGTGATAAAATTTTTAAAAGGCCAACCAAGAATTGTTTTAACCAGCAAAAATGTACTTTAGGCATGAAGGGGAAATCAAGACACTCTTATTTAAATGAAGGAACACTAAGAAAATTTGTTACCAGCAGACCTACTTTGCAAGAATGGCTAAAGGAAGCCAGGCATCATGGCACATACCTATAGTCCCAGCTACTAGAGACTGAGGCAGGCTTGAGGCCAATCTGGGCAAGTTAGCAAGACCTCATCTCAAAAAATAAAAAGGGCTTGGGACGTAACTCAGTGGTAAAACACCTTTGGGTTCAATCCTCAGTAACAAAAACAAATATATATATACACATACATACACACACATACACACAAACTGGACTTCAAAATTAAAATTAAAAGCGATTTACAGGGCTGTGGTTGTGGCTCAGAGGTAGAGTGTTCACCTAGAATGTGTGAGGCACTGGGTTCAATACTCAGCACCACATAAAAATAAAATAAAGGTATCATGTCCACCTACAAATAAAAAATAAATATTAAAAAAAAGTCATGTACAAAAGACCCCATTAGGAGGGCAAAAAAAGATAATGATGAGCTACAGACTGGGAGAAAATATTTGTAAACCACATATCTGACAAAAGACTTAAGTATGAAAGTGAAGCCAGAATTAGACAGGCAATCAGTGTAGATAGGTAAACTGAGTCAGGTCAGATCAAGGAGGCCAATTTTGAGTGAGTCTGGGAAGTTGGAGACTGTCCTCTGAGGCATCTTATCAAGAACCTGCCCCAGCTCCAACCTCTTGCCAAGGCAACCTGTCCCAGGAATTTCCCCTCCCTACAGGGAGCTATAAAGTTGTTAATGTGTCCTTGGCTACTCCATCCTGCCCTTCCCCCTTCAGCCCACCTGTTTCCCACCTTTTGGCCTTCCCACCAAGCCTTTACTGGGCCTAGTCACATATGCAGGAAGGAGAAAAGATAAGGGGGAAAAGGCAGGAGAACAAAGGAAGCCCGACATATAAAAAGGGTAGAACACCTCTCCTCTTGGGATACCGGGATACCAGGATACCAGCTATGGCCCCCCTTCTCCCTCTGGGGAGGGGAGAAGTCTATGTTACCAATTTTTAAATAAACCCTGCTTCATATGCTTGCCTTGGCATGATTCTCTAATATTCAAACTTCAACATGTGGGAAGCAGAACTGTCAAAAGGAACTCTCAAAACTCAACAGTTAAAAAAAATCTAATTAGAAATGAACAAAGGATGTGGAGAGGGAGCTGGGGTTGTGCCTCAGTGGTAGAGCATTTGCCTAGCATATTTAGGCACTGGGTTCAATGATAAACATAAACAAATAAAAAGGTGTTTTGTCCATCTACAACTAGAAATTTTTTTAAAAAAGGATGTGGAGAGATATTTCACCAAAGAGGATAAAGAGATGATAAAAAAGCATATGACAAGATATTGTACATCACTAGCCATCAAAAATATACACTCATCTGATTCTTAGTCATTTCTTCTTCTGAGGAAAAGACAAATTCAGAGATCTGTTAAGTCAGAGCTGAGGGAGGTCTGGGACTATGAGACTGTATGGAAAGGAGAAATAATACAAATGGAGATAAGAGAGATAAAGTTGATCTCAGGTCTCTGGCTGGTGATAGTTCAGCTGTGTCTCTCACATCTCCCTAAAGGATCAAACTAAAAGTGTCTTCTCATAAGAAGGGGAAGCTAACAGGTCACCAGTGCAAGCCAGAGAGACCCACTTGGTTACAGCCCTAGCCTCTGTAGTGCTGACTGACCTGATCCTAAAGAAGTGGGATTGGCAGAACACTTTGCCTCTTGGGATGCCAGGATACCAAGAGATTTTCTGTAAAAGGCCAGGTAGTAAATATTTTAGAATTTCCAGAACATTTGCTCTTTGACAACTATTCAACTTTGCCACTGTAGCATGAAAACAGTCACAGAGAGTATGCAAACAAATGGGTGTGGCTGTGACCCAATAAAACTTTATTGTTAGACACTGAAATTTGAATTTCATATAATTTTCAGGCTTGCTGACCCCTGATGTACAGCTTAGATAAGGAAGTTTTAAGGCAGTGTGCATACAGTAGTCATTTAATACTAGATTTACAATGCAGTGACCTTCCTTAGATCCATAAATTCTACTTCTAGAAATTTATCACCATGAAACAATCATAGTTGCACACAAAAATCTGAAAACAAAGACTGTTATCTGAGCCTAGATAATAAAAAATTTTTAAAGTTGGACACATTTAAATTTCCAATAAAGGGAAGTGACTCAAACATCTGAGGCCATCTGAAGGATAAAATACTATGCATCTGTGTCAACAATTATTATGTGGTCTTGTGATGGATGGCAAAACCAGATCTGGTTATGAAATGAAATTATAAGAATACTATCATCGGCTGGGATTTGGTAGAGGCTTGCCTAGCACGTGTGAGGCACTGGGTTCAATTCTCAGCACTGCAAATAAATAAGTAAAATAAAAGTCCATTGACAACTTAAAAAAGTATTTAAAAAACACTATCATGAAAAACTAGTGCGTGGGGAAAGGGTGAGTTCCCCTACCCTTTCTTTCAGCCCTCCTTCAGGAAACCTAAGTAAGCAATAGGCCCCTACCTTTTGGGTTGTAAATAACTACCTCTAGGAATTTAACAACTCCCCATGGAAGTATAAACACCCTTATTGAGGCTTGGAGCATAAGGCTAGAGATTTATCAGAGGCCTGTGAGAAGAATCAGTTTTTCTCCTTATTGTACTCTGCTTCTACAAACATGCTTCCTACTAGAAACTCACAGCCTTCTATCATGTGGACTAGAAATTATATGGCACAGAAAGCCTATAAATGTTGTGAAAAACTGGGGATGGGGGCTCAGAATTTGGAGTTTGATCTTGTCTGGGCCCACCAGCGTAAAAAAACAAAATTCGGCCTGTATTAGATATGGAAAACAACAAACCCCAAAATAATTATACATAAGAAAAAAAGGAGTGAGAAAGTCATAAATTAGGAGCATTGATCCTTTTCCAGTACATTCTTTCCCAATGATAAAACAAACCCTGGGGAGGAGGAGTCCATCAAACCTAAAAAGGCAGTCTCTGGGAAAGGACTAAAGCATTAAATCCTTCCCTAAACAAACCCTTTCCAGATACCAACTACTGACCCCAAGCCCTCCATCTGACCCAGTAAGATAAATCCCAGAGACTGACTACTGAGGCCACACTCCTTCCCATTTCGCCTAGTAAAACAGACCCCCAAAAACTGACTGCCCAAGCTGACACACTCATTAATTCACTTCTCAGGATAACCTACATATGCCCAGTCCCTTTCTTTGTTCAGTGGCTCATTTTCCACAAAGAGAGTGGGTTCATCAGAACCATACTCACCACCATCAGAACCATGATTCCATTTCTGAATAAAAGAACTGAGCTGATTTGTGAAGTCTGCATCCATCCTGGTCTTTCTGCACTAATAGCTGGGAGTGGTGGTGCACACCTGTAATCCCAGCAGCTTGGGAGGCCAAGGCAGGAGGATCAAGAGTTCAAAGCCAGCCTCAGCAAAAGTGAGGCATTAAGGAACTCAGTGAGACTGTCTCTCTAAAATAATACAAAAAAGGGCTGAGGATGTGGCTCAGTAGTTAAGTGCCCCTGGATTCATTCTTCAGTACCAAAAAAGTAAAAAAAAATAAACTAAGTTTGAATTCTTCCACTCTCTGAGTATCGTTTGCTGCTTCTTGACTGGTCCAATTCCCACAACATTCTGGAAAGAAAGCAAATGAGGTTAAATATTAACAATTGTTGAATTTTAGAGAAGGCTCTATGGGTGTTCACTGTAAACTGTTTTGTAGGTTTCAAGTGTAAAATAAAGTTGGTATTATTATTATTATTGGAACTTGGGATTGAACCCAGGGGTGCTTTACCACTGACCTACATCTCCAGCCTTTTTTATTTTTTATTTAGAGACAGGGTCTCACTAAGTTACTTAGGGCCTTGCTAAATTGCTTAAGCTGGCTTTGAACTCCCCATGGAAGTATAAACACCCTTATTGAGGCTTGGAGCATAAGGCTAGAGATTCATGATCCTATTACCTCAGTCTCCCAAGTCGCTGGGATTATAGGTGTGCACCACTGCATCCAGCTAGTAATATCTTTAAGTTAAAAAATTGTGAAATATGTTAGTAGACTAGCAAAGACCCATCTCCCACCCATTTGAACTGTCTACAGTTCTCCTTGCCAAGTAAAGATAATAAATGTTTCCTCTCTTCTCAAAGGAAAGTGATATAGATTAATTAGATAATATTTATCTAACTACCAAGTGTTAGGAAGAACTTGACACTGGCAACACCATTTTGAAACAGCCTCCATCTTCTTGAGTCACCTCAAGGTTACTCTCGGTCTGACCTTAAACCACAGACAATAGTCTATTATCATGCAAAGAAACCCCAAACAATATTCCATCATCATACCAAGAAAGGAAAACACTTGGTTCAAGGTGGAACAGTTACCACCTCAAAAAATGGAGGTGAGGACCAAAAGGACACTTCCCTGACAGCCCCCTAGCAATGGCAGATGGGTCTCCAATAGGTCTCCTGCACAGGTTTGTCACAAATAAACCTGTTTTGCTGTTGAGCCTCTTCTGTTTCCTTCATTTGCTTCTTTTCTTACATCAAGTGTCCTTTCCAACCTAAATGTAATTTTAGCCACATGTAACATGAGATTTACAAAAAAAAGAACTAAGTCTCAATGTTTCCTTTACAATCATCTTAAGAACAAAGAAAACCTCGATTTGCTTAAGGTTTTTTTTTTTTTTTTGGTAGTTGTAGATGGGCAGAATGCCTTTATTTTGTTTATTTTTATGGGATGCTAAGATTCGAACCCAGTGCCTCACACAAACTAGTCACATGTTCTGTCACTGAGCTACTGCCCTAACCCTTGCTTAAGTTTTGAATACTTGAAAAACAAAAAGTCCAATAAAACCTTGCTTTTACACACTGAATGCACAAATTACCCAGGAAAATTTACTTGTCAGGGGTGAGTGCTCTAGGGCCTACCATGCGGTAGGAGGATTTGGAGGATTCTAGCCTCTGGGTTCTCTTCCAGATTCAGGCCTTGACTTGCTGGAATAGGTCCTACTGTTTCCTAAGAAGAAAAACAAACTTATGCACTCAAGTATTAAAAATGCATTCAGAAAAAAATTGACACATTTAAATAAAAACATAGGAACCAATCCTAAGTAGAACTTAGCCAATCCTCAGTGGAGGACTTCAGTGACTCTCCTTTTCCCTTATTGAGGTGATTAGACACGGCGTTTTATCAGTCTCCAGTTGAGCCTCAGTTATCAATTGAAAGCCACAGGGCTAGAGTCATTGAAGACGAATTTCAGAAAATTTGTCTCCGTTTAAAACCTTTTAAATGTTCATATTCATTCCCGTTAATGGAGTAAAATCCAAACCTGCCGTGTAAAAAACACCAACATCCAGAACAAGAGATCACACGGCATATACGCGTTTCCTCACAGACGAAAACCATAAATAATTCTTGCCCGACTGTTTCTGAGAACTTGCTTTTAAAATTATAAACACTTCACTCCCTCGCCCTACCTAAGCCTGTGAGTTTTGCCTCCCCCAGAACCCGCCAAATCCCATTAAACTCCACCTCCACCTGCCACGCACAGTCCCTACAGGCTCCACGTGCGGATTTCGCAGTCCCCCATTGGCCTACTTATAGACACTAGTCGGTGCTCCGCAAACTCCTCTGGAGTCTTCCGTGATTTCCCCGGATTCCGTAAAACCCCGCCCCTCTCCTCTTCCCTAAGGCCTACTTCGGATAAGGAACGCCCCTCCCCACCTGGCTATTTGGTTGGCCATCACGTTTGCCACTACGTCATTCACCCGCGCCACCCGGAAGCCGCTGTTCCTACCAACATCTCTTATTGCCGGCGGCCCTAAGGTAAGGGCGGCGTTTGGGTGTCCCAGGGTAAACGAGTCCCAGAGTTGGGAGGGGCAGAAGGTGGACCCCCCCCCCCAACATGAACCAAACGAGCCCAATCCCAACATTGAGAGGGTGGAGATAAACTATGTGTGAGGCAAAAATGAAGTGCTCAACGTGGTCTTCCCACTCCCAGGAGCCCATCATGGCGACGCCCCCTAAACGGCGGGCGTTGGAGGCCACGGGGGAGAAAGTGCTGCGCTATGAGGCCTTCATCAGTGACGTGCTGCAGCGGGACTTGAGGTGAGTGACAGCCCGGAGGCGGGACGTTTTGAACTTTCCACGTGGTGGGTGGGGCGTTCAGAGTGAGTGCCAAGCCTTCGGATTGGTGGGTGAGGCTTCGGGAGCCCGGCCCTGTCACCTTTCTAGCGGGAAGTAGGGGACGACATCCGGGGTGCGATTTGGCTGGAACTGGCGTTTGTAACTGAGACTGTATCGGCGCATGCGCGGGCTCTGATGCTATTTATTGAACTAGAGCTAAGTTTCCGGAACTAGAGTTCTTGGGTTCTCGTCCTGGCTTGCGTGTTTTGCCATCGTTGTGAACACTTCTACTTAACCTCATCTCTGTGCCTTATAAACTTTCCACATCTGTGAAATAAGGAAGTTTATGGAATCTTCTCATAGGGTGGTTTTGAGTTTCCAGTAGTTCACTGACGTGTCCTTATCGTCCCAGCTACTGGCGAGGCTAAGGCAAGAGAACCCTTTGAGCCCAGGAGTTTGAGACCACCCTGGACAACAGAGCCAGACCTCATCTCAAAAAAGAAAAATGTTGAGAGTACAAAAATAAAACAAATAGGCATTTTAAAAAAGGAATTAGTGTGGATGCCTGAAACACAGAGACTCAATGAGTATGAAGAGCTGTTATTGCTGTCATTAATTGAACAGGAAATAATGTTCAGAACTAGGATTGTATGATCATCCTAAAAGGGAGTGAAGATTTTTTTCTGGGATAATGGGCCATTTTGATTGGCAGGAAACATTGACAGTAGAGTGTGGTAATACTAGTAATAAATAATAGCTAACAAGTATATAGTACTTGCTATTTGGCAAGTGTTATTCTAAACACATTGTAATAAACAGTCATTCGATCCTAACAATTCTTACGAGGTAATACTATCATCTCTGTTTTGTAAATGGACAAACTGAGTCCCAAATGGGTTTCTTATTTGCCAAAGTTATGCAGCTAGTAAAGGATAGAGCCCAGATTCAAATCCAGGCAGTCTCACCCAGTGTTCAAAATCCTAATTTCTGAGCTAAATGCTTGTTTAGGGCATGATATGTGGTATCCCAAAAGCGAAAGAGCTTCCTATTGGTCACCATTGTATTTTCATCTTATCAGAAAGGTGCTGGATCATCGAGACAAGGTATATGAGCAGCTGGCCAAATACCTTCAACTGAGAAATGTCATTGAGCACCTGCAGGTAAAGACTTCAGGATTGGATACCAGTTTGTGTGTTGTGGGGGAAGGAGATGGGAAGAGGGACCCCAGACCAAAACTTGTCACCTGGCCTAAAATTTGACCACTGATCCCTACCTCTTTTTCCCTGGCCCCACAGGAAGCTAAACACTCGGAGTTATATATGCAGGTGGATTTGGGCTGTAACTTCTTCGTTGACACAGTGGTGTGAGTGTGTACCCGCCCCTCTGAGCCCACAGGGTTCAGCTTACCCCTTCCTTCACGCAACAAATATGTTTTTCATATCTTCTACATACCGGACACTGTGCTAAGTTTTATATTACATAAGGATATAAGCTAGGTGTTGGGGATGTGTCAGTGAATAAAATAGGACAAGATCCCTGCCCTTCCAGAGCCTCAATTTGGGGAAGGGAGGGAATAGGAAACATCTTAAATAAACTGTGTGGTATGCTAAATAGTAATAAGTATTCCCCCCATTTCCTCTGACCTCTCTCCTCAGCCCAGATACTTCGCGCATCTACGTGGCTCTGGGTTATGGTTTTTTCTTGGAGTTAACACTCGCAGAAGCCCTCAAGTTCATTGATCGTAAGAGCTCTCTCCTCACAGAGTAAGTTCATTCCAGGAGGACAATATCTAAAAGCACCACCATTGACCAGGAGTGTAATTCAGTGGTAGAACACTTGCATACCACACATAAGGCCGTGGGTTCTATCCCCAACACCACACACAAATATACATAGTAAAAATCACCATTTTCAACACTGTTCTTCCTTTTCCATGGCTTCCTGGGATGGTACTTCCTTCCTCCTCAAAGCTGAAGCTGAGAGTGGGAATCAAAGCTCAGCCTCAGATGTAGCACATAATAAACATTCAGTAAATGGTCTTTGTATTGTTCATTCACACAGGCATTTATTGGGCATCTTCTGTATGGCAGGCTTTATGTTTGGCAGTGGGGATGCAGCACGGAACAAGAGCAAAGAGTTCCTTAAAGGTTTACATTATAGAGAGCCTATAATATTATGCATACATATGTGCATACTTATAATTATGGTCAGATCTATAAAGTCCCAGCCTGTTAATCAGTAACAATAAAACAAGTTACCTTTCACTTTACCTTTAGCTATTTTTCCTGCTCAATTACTATACTTTTACCACATTGACCTTCACAGTCTTCTTTTAAACATCACAAGAATGATCCCAGTCTAGGGCAAATGCAATGGATGTTGTCTCTCCAGCGGTGTTCTTCCTGTGTAGCTTCCTTTCTTTTCATTCAGGCCTTCTGTAACCTGCTTTTAAACTGGCAACTTCTGGTACTCTTTATTCCTCTCCTACTTTTTCTTTTTCCTTAGTATTTATCATCTTTTTTATTTTTTTAAATATTTTTTTAGTTGTAGATGGATACAATACCTTTATCTTATTTATTTTTATGTGATACTGAGGATTGAACCCAGTGCCTCACACATGCTAGGCAAGTGCTCCACCACTGAGCCACAACCCCAGCCCTATCACCTCTTTTTTAACTATGTAATTTCTTTCTATGTAATGTCTATCATCTCCTCCAGTTAGATTATAAATTTTATAAATGGAGAAATTTTGTCTATATCCCAGGTGACTAAAATAGTACACAGCATGGCATTGTGTTTGTTGAGTGAATTTAAAAGTATACTGGAAGAAAATTGAAGTGATGATCGAAGCAGATCTCTATGGGAACTGGTAGGGAATGTGTGGGCTCCAGGTAAATTTAGGTTTTCTGCAGGGAAGAGCAACTGGAGCATGGATGAGAGGTTTCAAATGTAGGTAGAAAAGGCCCCCCCAGAGGAAGTGACATTTGAGTCATTTGGTTCAATGAACAAGCTGGGGGCTGGTTAGGAAAGAACATTCCTAACAAAGGAGACAGTGTGCCTGGCATGCTAGAGAAACTGCAAAATGGGGTAAGCATGGCTCAGATGAAATGAGTATGGGGTGCATTGATTATTATACTTAGATTAATAACATCTTAGAAGAGTAATACTACTTGGTTTAAAATCCCTTCTTGGTTATGTTTATTCCTATATTCATTTCTTCTAGTGTTGCCTCCATTAGGGTTCAGTAATTGTTCTCTTTTCAAACTTTTCCAGGGTTTCAGTATTAGTAAACTTGGGACCTGCTGAGATTTCTAAATCTTGGTTATCAGATCAATTAGCAAATAGCCTGACCAGGGGGCTTGCTTTCATGGTCAATGCAATTCTAAACAGTTGATCTTTTAGATGAAGTCCAGTTTTTATAACAAAGCTTTCCTTCTAGGTGAGGATTCTTGAGCCTTTCAAATAGATTTTATTTTATTTTATTGTGGTGCTGGGGATTGAACCCAGGGCCTTGTGCATGTGAGGTGAGCACTCTACCAACTGAGCTATATCACCAGCCCAGATTTTAATTTTTTGAGAATCTATGTCTGTCCCCAGAATGAGTTATTTAAATTGACAGTGTCTGCCCCCTTGCCTGGTATTGTGTTTTGTTTTGTTTTCTGTACTGGAGATTAAACCCTAGGCCTCATTCATACTAGGCAAACATTCTGCCACTGAGCTACATCCCAAGGCCTTGGCTGGTCTTGATATATTGCCCTGGTTTATTAGTGTGATGAAAAAATGTGGTTGAAAGGCTGAGCACGGTGGTGCATGCCTGCAATTCCATTGATCAGGTAGAGTACAAGTTTGAGGCCAACCTGAACAACTGTCTCAAAATAAAAAGGACTGGGGATGTAGCTCAGTGGTAGAGCACCCCTAGGTTCAATCCCTAGTACTAGAAAAAAAAACACCAAGAGAAAGAAAAGTAAAACAAGTGTGATTGACTTTCATGGTACTTTATTATGATTAGTAGACCTTTCTAAAGATTTAATCTTTCTAGAAAATGGGGATTTAAGTCTGGGTAGCCCTCCTCTTTAAAATACTTGGCTACTTGGGGCACATTTCAAACTGCCAGTTCTTCCTGATTTTATTATATTTCTTTGTTTGATGAAGGGAGAGAGGTCAGGTCACTGTACATATTCTTTCCTGATTATACTTTCATAAATAGACATGTAATTATGCAGAAACAGCATTACTTTACTACATCAGTAGTAGCAGATCAAATGTTCCTTTTGTGTACAACTAGCATTTAATGAGCTTTATATTTTTCTTCCCCCACCCTGAACCCACTACCCTTTTTTTTTGGTGTTGGGGACCAAACTCAGGGTCTTACACATGCTAAACACATGCTCTACCACAGAGCCACCCAGCCATCTCCTTTCTTCTTGAGTGAACTCATAGCTTTCCATAGACAAGCTTGTATCATTATCTGATTTTGTCCTCTTTTAAAAAAAAAATATTTATTTTTTAGTTTTAGGTAGATACAATATATTTTATTTTTATA